GAGATATAATTGACATACAGCACTGTATAAGTTTAAGGCATACAGCATAATGACTTGACTTATATATATTTTGAAATGATTACCACGATAAGTTTACATCCATCACCTTATATAGATACAGAAAAAGAAGAAAAAAATGTCTTTTTCCTTGTGATGAGAACTTTTAGGGTTTACTCTCGCAGCAATTTTCAAATATATCATACAGCAGTGTTAACTATAGTTATATGTTGTACATTACATCCCCAGTACTTAATTATCTTATAACTGGAAGTTTGTACGTTTTAACTACCTTCATCCAATTCCCCCACCCTCTCCCCTTGCCTCTGATAACCACAAATATGAGGCTTTTTTTCCTATGAGTTTGTTTTTTATTTTTGTTTTTTGGGGTTTCACATATAAGTAAGATCATACAGTATTTGTGTTTCTCTGTCTGACTTACTTTACTTAGCATAATGCCCTCCGAGTCCATCCATGTTGTTGCAAACGCCAGTATTTCCTTCCTTTTATGGCTGAATAGTGTTCCATTGAAAAATATATACCACATTTTCTTTGTTTATTCCTTGGTGAATACTTGGCTATTGTAAATAATGCTTTAATGAACATGGGAGTGCAGGTATTTCTTTGATAAAGTGATTTTGTTTCCTTTGGAAACAAAAACCCAGGAGCGGAATTGCTGGATCATATGGTAGCTCTGTTTTTAATTTTTTGAGGAACCTCCATACTGTTTTCTATAGTGACTGTACCAATTTACAATCCCAGCAGCTGTGCACAAGGATTCCCTTTTCTCCACCATCTCACCAGCATTTATTATCTCCTTTGATGACAACTGTTCTAACAGGCCTGAAGTGATACCTCATTGTGGTTTGATTTGCATTTCCCTACCAATCAGCATCTTTTCATGTACCTGTTGGCCTTTCATATACCTTCTTTGGTAAAATGTCTCTTCAGGTCCTTTGCCCATTTTTTTACTTAGGTTATTATCATTACTGTTACTTTTACTATTGAGTTGTATGAGTTCTTTATATATTTTGGAAATTAACCCCTTATCAGAACATGATTTGCAAATATTTTCTCCTATTCCACACGTCACCTTTTCCTTCTATTGATGGTTTGCTTTGCTGTGCAGAAGCTCTCTAGTTTGACGTAATTCTACTTGTTTATTTTTTGTTGTTATTGCTTGTGTCATATCCAAAAAGTCATTGCCAAGACCCACGTCAAGGAGCTTTGTTCCAGGCCAATTTTTTAAAACTTATGTATTATACGGAGAACTTTCAGAGAGAAATAAATGTTCTGGACCTCATGTGTTAAGTTTATTCTTATTATAATTTTATTTGAAGTTTATAAACATAAAACTATCAGCTCTTCTTTGCTTTTATACAATTATAAAGGCAACACACACCAATTAGATATGAGCAAAACTTTTAAAACAATGAAATACAAATTAATAACAGATTTCATATGAGGAATGGTATTGTTTTGCTGAAACTAAATTGGTGCTTACCATCAGGATGTAGTTCTGTTTCAGCATGAGTTCTTTTGAGTTTGACAGGCCTACATTACTGTGTGCCATGTGATGACTTAATTTTTCTGTCATTTTTCTCCATTTGAACTTACATGAGCTGTTTGTTCATATATCCCTGGCTACATCATTTAAGTATTAAGTCAACCCGTGTGCCTCTATTTTCTTTTTAGCCAGAGATCATAAAATACCATTGAACACCAATGCAAGTTATTGGAAATGGTGTTCGGATGTCCAACCTTAAGGGCCTAATCCAGATGATCCAGAATCTGGTCATATTAATTTATTTTAGATTATCATCCCCAAATGCATAATTTAGAAATCTCCTAGCTAGCTGTAGACCTTCAAGAATATCAATCACTGTTGCCAGTGGGCCCAACAGCACATCATTAGAAAGTCTCAAAAGAGAAAAAGGCTAGAAGTGTCACCAAAGCCTGGTGGAGGCCCTGGTGATCTGTCAGGACACATGGTGAATATTTCACTCCTTGAGTCCTGAAGTGCCTGAGTGGGAAAACAGAGGAGAGAAGCCACTTTGGGAAAGTCATGTTGGAGAAAATGCACCAGGGGTGCTTGTTAAACCAGCAGGATGTACGTGCAGCTTCTGGCTTCCTGCACTGCTCACCTAAGAAGGGCTGAATGTCTTGTTTATTGCCTTCCCCATGAAATTGTTGAATTCAGATGTCATAGGCAGAAACACACACCTGGGGCATCATAAAATACTGCTTATGGTACCAGGGTATATCTTTGTGATTCCAGCATGTTGGGTTTTCTTAAAGCAAGACACACCATCACTAGACCAGGGAGAGTTTTTCATTTCCTGAAATGTTGAACTTGTGTCTGTTCTTCTTTTCTTGTACAAAATTTTATTTTATTTTAGTAGAACGTTTAACGTGAGATCTACATTCTTAACAGGTTTCTTTTTTAATTTTATTGAAGTATAGTTGATTTACAATGTTGTGTCTATTTCCTCTGTATGGAAAAGTGACTCAGCCTTACATGTATGTACATTCTTTTCCATATTCTTCTCCACCATGGTTTGTCACAGGATACTGAATATAGTTCCCTGTGCTGTACAGTAGGACCTTGTTGTTTATCCATCCTATATGATAATAGTTTTCACCTGCTGATCCCGAACTCCCATATCTTCTCTCCCCTACCCCCGCTCCCCCTTGGCAACCACAAATCTGTTCTCTATATCTGTGAGTCTGATTTTGTTTTGTAGATATGTTGATTTGTATTATATTTTAGATTCCACATATAAGTGATATCATGTGGTATTTGTCTTTCTCTTTCTGACTTAGTTCACTTAGTATGATAATCTCTAGGTCCCAGTGGGCAGAAGACCTAAATAGGCATTTCTCCAAAGAAGACATACAGATGGCCAAGAGGCACATAAAAAGATGCTCAACATGGCTAAGTATTAGAGAAATGCAAATCAGAACTATATAATGAGGAACCACCTCATACCAGACAGAATGGCCATCATTAAAAAGTCTATGAATAACAAATGCTGGAGAGGGTGTGGAGAAAAGGGAAGCCTCTTACACCATTGGTGGGAATGTCAATTGGTGCAGCCACTGTGGAAAACAGTATGGAGGTTCTTCAAAAAACTAAAAATAGACCTGCCATATGGTCCAGCGATCCCACTCCTGGGCATATACCCAGACAGAACTATAATTTGAAAAGATGCATGCGCCCCTATGTTCATAGCAACACTGTTTACAATAGCCAAGACTGGAAACAACCTAAATGTCCATTGACAGATTAATGGATAAAGAAGATGTGGTTTATATATACAATGGAATATTACTCAGCCATCCAAAAGAGTGAAATGATGCCACTTAACAGATTTTTAAGTGCACAATACAGTATTGTTAAGTGTAGGTGTGATGTTGTAAGGCCTATCTCTAGAACTTATTCATCTTGCATCACTGAAACGTTATACCTCTTGAATAACAACTCCCCATTTCCCCCTCACCTCAGCCTCTGGCAACTACCATTCAACTCTCTGCTTCTGTGAGTTTGGGAGTTTTAGATACCTCATATACGTGGAACCACTCAGTATTTGTCGTCCTGGGACTGGCTTATCTCACTTAGCATAATGTCCTCAAGGCTCATCCATGTTGTTCCCCATGGCAGGTTTCCTTCTTTTATTTAAGGCTGAATATCCCATGTGCCTTTTAGATACCAAATGCACTGCCCTGTCTTTTGGTCCCACCCAACCCAGCTAGACTCGGTCTCCTCTCTTGCTAATTCTCAAATGCTTTCATGGTCCCCACCAACTGGGTGCATGAAGAGAATGAAAGGGGGTTTCAGAACCCATGAAGGGGCTGAGGCCTGAGCAGGAACTTGCTGGGGATTGAATCCCACGATTGTGTGGTGCTTGTCTGCTGCCTTCTTGCTGTCTCTGGAGGGTCCCTGCTACACCTAATCATCAATTTTCCATGGACCATCTCATAACTTGGCTCTAGGAGGTTTTTCCATCACTTCGCCTTGCTTGGCGAAGACCTACATTATGGGAAATGAGCTTAATTTCCCTTGCCCATTCATCTTTTAACTCTTCCCATTAGCCTTGGCACTGCCAGCCCACCCCAGTGAGCCCTGCCTCTTCCGTGCTTTCTCTCCAGGCCTCTCCGTGGGCAGCCTGGCAGTGGACAGCACTGGTTTCTCTGACAGCGTGAGCACAGAGGGCTTGGACAGAAGGCAACATATGTTTTGTGAGATGCCTAAGGCGTGTGGTTTGTAAGCCCATTGAAATTCTATCCAAAATACTAACTGAATTGTTCTAATCTGCAACCTCAGTATTCATAGATCCCAAATTTTCTATGCAGTAAGTTAAGTGGTAATTGAGGTTTGCAAATATTTATGTAATTTATTCTGGTTTTCTTCCAGTGGCCTGTGAGCTAGAACTACAGCTTCGATGTAGTTGCTTCTTCCTGTTTAGAGAGCTAGCATAATATTCTGTCTTCTGGGCTCAAATAACCGTGCAATTACTCTGTAATCATATAGTAATTAACATGTACTATGCGCATTTATTACATGATTATATTCCTGGAGGATTGCATGGCAATCATACTTACATTCAGCATGTCATTTTATATATTATGTAATAAACAAGTATATAATTTGTTGCTTTTTTCTTTTATCCTAATTTCAATTTACCAACCAGGAGCTGGAAACTTGTTCTTCTGTTGCCTTGTTTGTATGTAGTCAGGCAGGTGCCTGAGCTCCTTTGGCCTTACTCAACACCTCCTAATCATACATCTGAGACAACGCTAGGAGCTTGTGTGCTGCCGTGGGCTCCCAGCCTCTGTGCCCCTGATACTTCCTCATTGTCATGAACTCATTAAGTTATTAGCTTCAAGACACAGAGTTGATCAGAGCTGCCAGCACTGCCAGGTGAATGGCCAGATCTCAAGGAAAGCAGAGCAGCCCCAGCACACAGCCCTGTGATCATGCCCACCTTTCTCTCCTTTTGCAGTGGAGCACATCCCGAAAGGGAACAACTGCCTGGACGCCGCCAAGGCCTGCAACCTAGACGACACCTGTAAGAAGTACAGGTCCGCGTACATCACGCCGTGCACCACCAGCATGTCCAACGATGTCTGCAACCGGCGCAAATGCCACAAGGCCCTCCGGCAGTTCTTCGACAAGGTCCCGGCCAAGCATAGCTACGGGATGCTCTTCTGCTCCTGCCGGGACATCGCCTGCACCGAGAGGAGACGGCAGACCATCGTGCCGGTGTGCTCCTACGAGGAGAGGGAGAAGCCCAACTGCCTGAATTTGCAGGACTCCTGCAAGACGAATTACATCTGCAGGTAAGCGCGTGCCAGCAGCCTGGTGATGAAGGAGGTGGTGGAGAGAACCTTTATGCTGCTTCAGTGGCCAGGCTTCTATTTTCTGAATTTCTGCAGGGGGGTGGGGGAGGGGAGTCATTGGGATGGATGGGCCAAAACCTGACCTCTGCCTCCAGCACGAGGTTCTTCAGCAGCTGATCAGCCTTTTGTGCTGAGGAAGGTTCCCGTCTTTAACCTGAGGGAAGCTTTGAGAGGTGCTGGAATGAGGTCAATAGGACTTCGTAAGCGCAGAGGGTCACCTGAGCCCAGGTGAGCTTGAAGGCATGTGCCCCCTCTGTTAGACCTGAGAGCTGCCAGGGGTCAAAAGCGTTAAGTAAGTGGGGTAGCAGGTGCTGGAAATACGGGGGCTCTTGTCATCAAGGTCAGAAAACTGGAAGAGAGCAGCGAGAGGGAGGGATGGAGCCGTGTCCAGCCCCTAAGAGGAGAACTTCCAGAATACCTGGGTCTGCTCTGGGCCATTCAGTCGACGATGTGGCTGAGAATAGATGCCTTCCGTGCTTCCGGATCTCAGCCCCCATCGAAACCTGGCAGTGTTGTTGAAAAGAGTCACTTTTTGGCCATTTATTAATTTATTTTAATGTTTGAAGGACTCCATGAATATATTCTATGTGTGTGTGTGTGTGTGTGTTTTTTTTTAAAGCCAAAAAGCAATATAGAATTAGTAGAGGGAAAGGGAAGTTTCCTCTTGCTCCCAGCCATCACTGTCAACAATTTGATGTGAGTGCTTCCAGAACTTTGGGTTGAATTCATTGCTGATCAGAAAGCAAGTAGATTTTGATAAGCAGAGACTTGACTCTTTGCCGCCTGAGGCAATGCTGGTGCTAGATTCAGAGCACAGGATAGAGATGCAGACGGGGCATCATCGGACAACACCTGTACTTTGCCCCCAGGATAGAGCCAGGAATCTTCAAATGCCTCCGCTGACAAAATCCTGTGCACTTGATAAACGTTCACAGGTGGACATGTAGATGAGGGTGTGACTTTGTGTTTGTTTTCTTGTAAGTTTCCCGTTTCTAGAGCAGAGGGCAGGGAAAAAAACTGATAGTTTGAGGATTCTGGTAAGCTGAGTTTTGTCAGTTTAAGTTTTATTCTGATAGAATGGAGTCCCATTCTTTCCTTAGACTCGCTCTAATAGTGACCAAAGAAAAATAAAAGTCCTTGTTATCTGTAGAACTCCCTCATACTGAAGACTTTTGGGGAGTAATATCCCTCCATTTTTTTTCCAAGTTGGAAGCTATCTGAGGAAGAACTCAGATGGCCTAGCTTGTCTTGGGAGGAGTCAGGTGCTCAGGCAATGCAACTTCTCCAAAGACTCTTCCTCACCTTCACGCCCCTCTTCCATTGAGACCCTCTTAACTGAGGGCTAGGATCAGGGATCACTGTGCTCTAAGGATCCTGAGGAAGAGGCAGGACCTCCTCGCAGCTATAACCTGGGGAAGGCAATCAGCCAGGGACTCTAAGAACGCCCTGCTCGAGATGAATGTGGTGAGGACAGGACCAAGGGAGAAGCTGTGGGAGCTTAGCCTGGCATTAGGATGCCAGGGGACAGAGAATCTGAAGACCTGTCCTCTGAAGACCCCAAGTTCCTGTGTCCCTTTAGTCTTTGAGCAGAGGAATCCCTCTGCTAAAAGCAGGACTTTCCAGGGTCTTCCTTGGCTTGAAGCCAGACAGCCCCTCCCTGTCTCTACGGGAGACATTATCCTGTTCACTGATGGGTCCAAGCCAGGAAGCCTGAAGATGGGAGGCTGCTGTCAGGGGAGGGAATGGAGCAGTGCGTGAGCCCTCCGTCCACTGGACCATGGCTGGCAGGTGGAGAGAGCATGGTGATGGAGCCTTTCCTTCTCTTCTCACGCGGTCTGTCTTGCACGTGAGGTCCAGAGGAGGCTCCTGACACCTCCTGTGCAGGCTCAAAGCCCACCGTGAGGGGTCCATTTGCATTACCTGGCCTGCTCTCTAAAAAGAGAGAATCCTCGGAGAGTTGGTATGAATTAGTCGAATCAGATTGCTTCCCTGCTAAGCTGTGGTGAGAAACAGCTGGAAGTTTGGGAACTTGGTGTGTTCCAAGGAGGTGGCAGGAGGAATCTGCAGATAATGGGATGGTTTGGGTACTGTCTGGGGACCAGCCTGGTTCCAGGAACTGGTTGTGTTGAGGCAACCCAAGTAGCATAGCGTGGCCTCAGCTGATGGGGCAGAAAGGAACAGGGGACGATGGGACAGCCCTCACCTAATGACTGACTGTGCCTGGTCACACTGAGGTCGGGCTGTGGTGACAACAGCCACCAGGCAGTGAGGTGAAGTCGGGCTGGACTGGAAACTGCAACCAGAAGCAGTCTCGGTGCTGCTGCCAGGTTCCTGGCTCTGGGATGTTTGGGAATCCAAATCCTAGACTCTCTAGGGCCCTCCCAAGTGAAATTTGCCTGCATGTGATTGGTGGGTTTTAAACCGTCTCAAGTCTTCTCTGGGAAGGTGAATCAGTGACTTCCCCTGGTGTTACCTGTCCTTAAGTTATTTATCCTGTAATTTCTTTCCAGAGCCTGAGCTTATTACTCATGATTACCCCCTCCCTGTCAGATGTGGTAAATGTAATTTAAGCTGCTAGGTAGGCTAGCGATGTTTTCTTTCATCAGGTTTTATTAGTCTTGTCTTTAATTTTATGCCTTTTATTGCATCTCATCTCAATCCATCTCGGCAAAGCCCTTGGAGTTACTACTACGTGGAACAGCAGCTGGGGCTTCGGCAGCGTTTCATGTTAAAGCTGCTCTGACCCAGACCCATTTGGAGGAATGGAGGTACCCCCAATGGGATGACTAAAGGCCTAATTTGAATATCCCCAAAGCGAAGGGATAGCAAGAGGGAAAATCGCTTCCTAAAAAGCATATTCTTTGAAAGCTCACATTTCAAATGCTCCATTGCCATCTCAACATCAGGGACTATCAAAGAGCTGCTGAAGCTCATTGAAACCTCCCTGCGCTTAATGATTTCCAACTCGAAGCACACAGGTTTCCTTCCCCAGGGTCCAGCGGTGCCTCTGTGCAAAACCTCTCTCCTGCGTTTTGCCTTCAAACAGAGGAGATGCAACTTTAGCTTTTCCTTTTGACTTTGTTTTCTTTTCTCCTTTTCCCTTTTAGGGAAGCTGACAGGTTTCTTTCCTCTTAGGGTGGTTGGGGACAGGCGAGAGCTTGACTGTTTAGGCCTCCAAGCTTGCCTGCAGAAAAGCAAACGCGGAGGTGTTATTAGAAGGGTGTGATGAGATTAAGAGCCTCCAGTTCTTCCCCTGAAGCACAGTGTCTCCCATACTCATTGTCCTCCGGTTGCTTTCCTTAGTGCCTGGAAGGATGTCAGGTTGGGGTTTGGTCCTAAAGGACCAAATTCCCGATGCAAGTGGTTATATATACATAATTTAAAGTTGTGCCTCTCCTCCTTTCCCTCAAATTCTGACCTCCAAGCTAAGCTCAGCCCTTGGGCTCTGACTCAGGGTGCTACAAATATGTTCATAGCTCTTTAATTTTTCTCATTAATCACTCAGGCGCCTCTGCTGCTCTTCATTACCCAAAGGGCTAGCATCTTTCTCTTGAGCATGCCCCCTCCTGTTTTCATCTAAGAATTATACAGTTATTTTCCAAAACCTGTTCTGCTTCCAATGCCAGGAAAAGAGGGAGCCTGAGGCTACTGGCCAGCCGGCCTGACCTGTGGGTTTAGCTGCTGCCACACGGTGTCGCTGTTGTGGACAGCCCAGAGGTTGCTTTGTGGTTTGGTGACTGTGCCCTTCTTGGTCATTCTGCACCTGCAGCAGAGGTGCTGCATCTTGGGTGCAGAGTAACAACTCTTAGTTCATACTCAGCATGCAGCCACTATTTCCCAAAGCGTGACATATTGCCCTAGGGGCTGGGTCCTACGGGGTTCCCACCAGAGCCAGCCCTCCAACTTGAGCACAGTATCTCAGACTCTCCCTTTCCTGGCAATGTAGCCTAGATGGATTTGAGTGTTGTATTTGCATTTTCTCTCTTTTCTTGTTTTATTGTGGTAAGAACACAACGTGAAGTCTACTCTTTTAACAGGTTTCTAAGTGCACAATATGGTATTATCTATAGGCACAATATTGTACAGTAGATCTCTAGAACTTATTCATCTTGTATAACTGAAGTTTTATTCCCACTCATCAGAAACTACCTTACCAGGGGATAAGGAGGGGGGGAGGAATAAATTGGGAGATTGGGACTGACATATGCATACTACTATATATAAAATAGATAATTAATAAGAACCTGCCGTATAGCACAGGGAACTCTACTCAGTATTCTGTAATGGCCTATATGAGAAAAGAATCTAAAAAAGAGTGGATATATGTACATGTATAACTGATTCATTTGCTGTACACCTGAAACTAACACAATATTATAAATCAACTCTACTCCAATAAAAATGAAAAAAAAAAAAAAAAAGAAACTACCTGCTTACCCCTCCCCCTAGTTCCTGGCAGCTACAATTCTGTTCTTTGCTTCCACGAGTTTGATGATTTTAGATACCTCATGTAAAGTGGAATCATGCAGTATTTGTCCTTCTGTGACTGTTTTATTTCACTTAACACAATGTCCTTCAGGTCAATCCATGTTGTTCCACATTGCCTTTTTAAGGCTTCAACAGTGCTTGGTCAAGGGTACCTCATAGCTTTTGGAAAGATTCTGATAATGCTGAACTTCAGAAGGGAAGGGATCAGGACCTCTGCCCTCTGTCTCCAAGGCTTTTTGCCTAGCCCCTCCCCCACCAAGATATACTTGCTCTTCCCGGTGCCCAGGCTCTGTTTCCTCATTGTTTCCAAGAGCGGTAGCTTTTACCAAGTGACCAAGTACCTATGGTTCTACCTTTCCCCAGGGACTAAGGATCCTATAATTGTATCCTGGAGACCTGTTTTTTTCGTTGTTGGTGGTGGGTTTTTTGGTTTTCTTTTTTGTTTGTTTGGT